ATATATATATATAATGTTTTGGGGGGTTTGAAGTAATTTTCAGGCCTAAAATGTGGATTATATCATGTGTACAAAAAAGAAGGCCTTTGCAGCGAAAGGGTCCTCATGGGGGTTGTTGTTGTTGTTATTATATATTATTATTATAGTGCCAACAGTTTGCACAGCGCTTTACAAAATGGGGGAGACAGTACAGTTTTTGGCACAGAGCCCTGCTTGTTTAACAGGGTTAAAATTTGTTTGTACAGGGTTACACAGATCAGCAGCTTCCCTATATAGTCCTTCGGGGTTATCCTAGATTATCCTTTTAGTCGTTAAATGTTCAGTTGTGACAAGTGACAAGTTTTTCCTATAAAGCATAGTCATAACATTCTGGTACTATCATTGTACCAAAATAGAAATCAGACACAGCCCAGGGTTAGAATGTTTGCTTTCTTGTTCATTTTTAAATTGCGGATATTGGATTTGATCATTTTAGAGATTGTCTAATTATGTAATATTGATTTTCATTTTAACAGTGTAAGCTTTACATAATTTTTCATATAGGTCAGATAGTAAATTGTATACTTCTTCAGTTTGATTTAATCATAAGTATTGATTTTACACTACATTGCCAAATGGATCTGTCTAAAGCTAGTATATTATGCATTCACTCTGTCCTATTAATTTGCAATTAACCATTCCAAATCAGATAGAGCTATGATTTCAACATAATTAGTATACCCTTGTTTTAATCTACTGTATATATTAAATGAGAACTGTGTATTCATAAAATAAATAAACCTGTTTGATTTATTGGCAACAAAAATTTTCTTTGCTGCTATTCATCTTTGACTAAGGATGATTGCAGCTAGATCTCTTACGAACAGCTATTGCTGATAAAAGATCTGTCCTTGCTTGATTCGTGTGCTGCTAGGAACTCAAACTATATTGCAGCTTCAGATGGTATAATGCGTGCATCTTTTCACCATAGAATTTTTGGTCAGTGGCCCATGAGATTATGAGAATAATATCATCAAATCCTGTGTATAACAAGCATATAGCTACCAGACTTTTATAAGCCTTTCTTGACAAATGTAATATTCCATGGGTTTTCTATAGAAATTATGTGATTACTGTCAAATAGCAAAAGTAACAGCCAACAATGTCAGGTTTTTAGGTTTTCTCAACCACTTGTTTCCTGAAAGGTCATTCCTCGCAGGAGTATATCAAAGGGAACACACAAATTTCAGCCTCCTGTCCAACAGTTCCAACTGACTGCTTACTCACACAGCTAATAAGTTAGAGTGGCTTGTTGTTTTGGTGCCCTCAGCCACGTGTCTGCCCTAGTCTAGCTCTCTAATACACGAGGTCCCACTCTTTATCAAGAACCTTTGGCCTCTCAGCCAGGTGCAATACCTAAAGCAGAGTTTTTATCATTGGAAGCACCACTGTCTCAGGTGGTGTATAAACTCAATCCAGGACTAGACCCCGAGGCCATTTACCACGACAGTTAAGACTCAATTTGTAATAGGATAATTACCTTAAGCCTAGTAATGAGAACATTTGTACAATGGTCATAAGCATGTTTGGCCAAATTTTTCTAAAATCCAGCAGTCTGCCACCTGATTTAAAAGCACCAAGATCTGTTGATGTATAGCTATTTCAGTAATCTGGAACTAAAGCCTAAGGTGGGTTATGCCAAGTGCAAAATGTCTATATATGTCATATTAGAAAACCTATTTAATTCTATTCAGTGTAATATAATCGATGATTAGATCTATAGGAGTAGTGACTGGGAATCTGATGACACTAGTCACAGGCGGGCAGACAGCTTCTTTTTTTTTTTTGTTTTACTTATGGCAACCTCCATGTTCTCTTAGTAATGGTATGTTTTTAAAAAACATACCAAAACAAAAAAAGCACAAGACTGTGCCTTGAAATACCTATAAGCACACACGAATAACAAGTTAACACTGTACACAGGTAAAACTCATCACTATAATATATTATCTCAAACCTAATAACTTTAGGTTGAATTGATACAAATATTTTCCACAAGGAAAAATATAAACCATTGTTAAAACTGAGATGACATATTTTTGGTCTGAAACTTCAGAGCCACACTGGTGTCTGCATTAAAGACACATTTCATTTTTGGCACTGCAACTGATTGAGGTTACTTAGGTCTCTTAGCACTGATTGGTTATACTATTTCACAAAACTTAAATAGATAAATAATTGCCAAAAAAATCTAAATTATTTTACTATAAATATCTGATAAATTGTCAAAATATAAATTGAATGTATGCTGAGCTACATTGGCCTACATAGTACGAAATACCTTAACTGTGATAAAGTACAGAAAACATACTGAAGATATGAAACAATTATGTTGACAGTTGTTTATGTCAATTATCAGGGGATATGTTGGATCTACTGAAATGGCGAATGCATCCAGATAAAATCCCAGGCAGCTTGTCTAAATTAAAGGAAATTGATGGTTCAGAAATTGTTAAGGTAAGCAACACAGCTTGACATAGTTGCTTAGTTTTCTTGTTTGGCCATTATTATTTTTTTTAAATGTACTCTCTTCCCTTTCACAGTTTCTTCAAGATACACTGGACACTTTATTTGGTATTTTAAATGAAAGTTCACAGAAATATGCCTCAAAGGTATTCGATTGCTTGGTAAGTGTCACAGGTTTGTCTTTCACTAAGTTTGGATATTATGTTAGCTATATAAATACAGTCATTGCTGCCTGGCAAATGGTGTGTCTCTTGTTTGATTCCAACAAATGTACTGTCTGTTTGGAGTTTATATGTTCTCCTTAAATTTTAATTCTGACAGATGTTCTGCCTGTTTTGCCAATTCCCCTTGAGGTTTGTAGGGGATTCCTCATCATCCAGTTTCCTTCTATGGCATAAAGTGGTACTAGAGCTTAAATCAAGCCCTAGCGTATACTATGTAACTCTAGCCAATACAGTGGATGTTTTTACATTCTGAAAAGTCCAGGCTTCCTCTAAAGCATATTCATTTGTTATTCAGTATTTAGTACTATCTCAATTGGCCCAGGTGTGCTTGTACTGATAGAGATAGATTGCATGAGATTGCAAGCACCATTTTACTGGGAGCACCATGCTTTATAGTATGTAATGCTCTGGGCAGTTCTTTGGAGCTAGATGGTATTAATAAACATTGTATTTTATGAATGGTCATTTTTGTTCATAGGTACACATCATTAACTTGCTACAGGACAGCAAATTTCAGCACTTTAAGCCAGTAATGGACACTTATGTAGAAGGGCATTTCTCTGGCGCTCTTGCTTATAGGTAAGGAATTCATTTGAACCTTTTCTATATTTAGAACATTTTCTTAATTGTTTCTTCCATTGGGCCTTTTGCCCACTCAACACTTAAAACTGCAATAAACAATGTAGATTTGTGGTAACTCACAGCAGCCCATCAGCAGTAGCCTTTCATTGTTGTAACTGCTCTGAACAGGTAAACGATGATGAGTTCTGATTGCTCTGGGTTGCATTTTAAACATTATTATTTCTTTTTGCCCTGCCTTGTTTTAAGCAGTTTCTATTTACAACAATCATAACTTCTGAGTGATGTCTTACCTTCTCAGAGACCTCATAAAAGTGCTGAAATGGTATGTGGACCGAATAATTGAAGCTGAGAGACAAGAGCATATCCAGGAGGTATTAAAGGTAATGAAAGGAAAAAGTCAGGCATGTTCTTGTACTGATTTCTATACAGGTTGAACTTTCAGTTACTGATTCATGCTCCCTCACTTTGATGTAGTCATAATTGGCAATCAGCCTATTTTTGTACTTTAGTAAATTAAGTAATTTGGATCTTGGCGATAGCTGAGTACTCAAGTACTGTGCTTTTTATCCTGGCTTTTTACTGTCATTGCTAATGTAGTTTTAATTTTGGAAATATACAAGACTGAAGTATGTGTATGATAGCTCAAAATGGTTCAGTTTTATGGTAGCATAATCTAAGCTGTCTAACAAATATAAATATATGTGTGTATGTGTATATGTGTGTGTGTGTGTGTATATATATATAT